GTCCACTGTGTTGATATCGCAAAGTATCTGCTACTGAGTAAATTTATAAAGAACAGGAGCTTAGAGGCTAAGTCCTAGGTCCTGTCTCCAGCTGGTTGTGTTTCTGATGAGGGTGCCTTGAACTTGTGTCCTCTGGAGGGGAGGAGGGCTGCCATGTCCTCAGTGTCCTCATGTGTCCAAAGGAGGAAGGGCAGTGGGGACCAGTTTCCTGTCACCAAGCCCTTTCCTGACACATGAACCCACTCCTGAGGGCAGAGCCTCAGCTTGTGCTGTAGTTGCATTGGGATTTGAGAGGACAGCACTTGGTGTACTCCCAGCATCTGTGTTTGTTGAGATTGTTCTTTTTCCCACACAGCTTCAGGTTACTGACACGTCCTTTCATTTTGCCGAGCACGACTTCTTAGGGCATTTCTTGTAGGATGGGACTAGTGATAAACTCCTTCAGCTTTCGCTTCTCTGAGAGCATCTTAATTTTTTCCTTACTTAGTTCTTACATTTTTGTTTATTTTCATTTATTTGAAAGGTAAAGAGACAGAGAAACTTTCCGCTGGTTTATTCTCCAAATACCCCCAACAACCAGAACTCACTCGAGGTCTCCCACATGGGTGTGCATTACCAGGAAGCTGGACGAGAAGTGGAAATGTGGACTCAAACCCAGGCACTCCCACGTGGGAAGTGGGTGTCACATTTGGTGACTTCATTGCTATCCCAAATGCCTGCCCTTTCCCTACTTCTGAAGGACAGTTTTGCTGTCCTTTTTGTTTTGACAGTGGTGTTCCTTCAGCACTTGGACTATATTGAACCTGTGTCTTTCCACTCAAATTTCTGGTGAGAAATTTGGAAGTCTTGTTGAAGATCTTACATGTGATGTCATGCTTTGCTCAGTGCTTTCAGGTGCTCTCTTTTGTCATTGGAAAGTTTGATTATAAAGTGTCCTGGTTTGGGTCTCTGAGTTCATCTTCCTTGGAGATATTGAACTTCTTGGCTGGTGTTTGCATGTCTTGTATCAGTCTTGGGAAACTTGGGCCTTGTGTCCTTGCCTTTTCTCGCTGCTCCTTTGCCTGTCCTGTCCCTGGCACTCCTGCACTGACTGTCGGCTCTCTGGGTTGCATCCACAGGGGATCTTAGGCTCTGTCCTTTTCCTTAATCTTTTTTCTTTCTGTTCCTTAGACTCACTCTGTTGTCCTGATTCTTGTGGCTCCTCTTATCTTTGTTTGCATCCTTCCCGAGAAGTTTTCATTTCACTTCTCGAGGAGGCAAACACCTACTACATCCTTTAAGTGAATAGTGAATGGAGACATTTATAGTTGACAGATGTGGATAACATCTGGACTCCTTGATCAATTTTTTTAAAGATTTATTTATTTTACTTGAAAGGCAGAGTTACAGAGAGGCAGAGGCAGAGAGAGGGAGGGAGAGAGAGAGAGAAATAGGAGAGAGAGAGAGAGGTCTTCCATCCACTGGTTCACTCCCCAAATAGCCACCACAGCTGGAGCTGGGCTGATCTGAAGCCAGGAGCCAGTAGCTTCCTCCAGGTCTCCCATGCAGGTGCTTGGGCCATCTTCTACTGCTTTCTCGGGCCATATCAGAGAGCTGGATTGGAAGTAGAGCAGCCAGGAGTTGAACCAGTGCCCATGTGGGATGCTGGCACTGCAGGCGTTAGCTTTACCTGCTATGCCACAGTATCAGCTCCTCCTGATCAATCTTAGTATCCAAAAAGGGACATCCTGACACTCTGGGTTTCATGTGATCTTGTAACAGAAGGTCAGACCACATCTGATCAAGACTCTAGACTTAACCTGTAGTGTAGAGAAAATTCAAACTGAGGAACTTGATAAATGATGTCACAGAAATCCACAACAAAGTGTTGATTATGGGAAAATGTACTAGACTCTCAACGTAGAATTTTCAACAATCACATTGCCAAGAAGAAGGCAAAAAGTGCTCTCTGGGAGGAGCTGATGCTGTGGCATAGCGGGTAAAGCTAATGGCTGCAGTGCTAGCATCCCACATGGGCACTGGTTCAACTCCCGGCTGCTCTAATGGGAGGGAACCCTTATAAGGCATAACAAAAACGTGATATGCAACTCTTGTTGGATTTTTATTTTAACAAGGAAACTTAAGGAAAAATTACTGAGATAAGTGAGGTAAGTGGAGAAATTTGGATACTGACTGAATATTATATGATATTAAAAAAGTTATTAAGATGAGATAATAAGGGCTGGCATTGTGGCATAGTGAGTTAAATTGCTGGCTGTGACACTGTCATCCCATACAGGTACCAGTTCGAATCCAGGTGCTCAGCCTCTGATCCAGCTCCCTGATAATGCACCTGGGAAAGCAGTGGAAGATGGCCCAAGTACCTGGGTCCCTGCCACTCACATGGCAGACCCAGATGAAGTTCCAGGCTCCTGGCGTCGGCCTGGCCCAGCCCTGACCATTGCAGCCATTTGGGGACTGAAACAGCAGATGGAAAATCTCTTTCTCTGTCTCTCATTCTGCCTTTCAAATAATTTTTTTAAAAAATGAGATAATAGTATTGAGATTACATTTTTCAAAGCTTACTTTGTAGAAATAGACAGTAAAATAATTCAGCAGTGAGTGAGGAGAACATGGCCCTGTTGATAGTTGCTGAAACCAGTTAAGGAATCTATAGAGTGATGGTCTTTATTTTGTAATATGTTCAGGATTTTCCATAACAAAAGTCTATTCAAGGAAGCAAATAAGTGATAGTAGGGAGATTTTTCTAGAATAATGTTTCTCAGTCTAAGTTAAAATACATTGGGATTCTTTGAAAGGCTCTAGAGGAACCCTGGAGGGTGATGAAGTCACCTGGAGAAGCAGAAGACAGAGTGACTCACTGCAGGCGCGGCTTCCGTGCAGGGCAGCAGCAGAGTTAACTCTGGCCTGGATTCCTGCAGCAGCACTGAGCACAGTGCCCTGACTGTGACCTTCAACTGGGAGTGCTCTGGAAGGTTCTTTGCTCTTGCAGAATCAGTTGTCATAGGGCTGCCTCCCCACTGTAGCTCAGAACCCTCCCGGTCTGTCACAGGAAGCTACACCTGCTCTTCATGCTGTACTTACTGTTAAGTTCTTGATAGGGAGTCTGACTACTAAAGGAGTTTGGAAGAATCCCTTCCCAAAACTGAAATTTTGCTGACTTAACCGTGTCTTATTCTCAGATACTGATAATTTATGGGAGGGATCTATAAGCAGGAGGTTGGAGTGGAACTAAAACCATCTTTGTAGATGGGTACTTCAAATGCTTGTTTTTTGTTTTTGTTCCCACCCCCCCCCAAGGGCTTAGCTATAGTGTTATCTTCTTGTTGTTGTTAAACTTTATTAAAGGAATATAAAAATTCCCAAAGTACAGCTTATGGATACAGATGGCTCCCCCCCCCCCATAACTTCCTCCACCCGCAACCCTCCCTTTTCGCTCCTCTCCCCTTCATTCATATCAAGATTCATTTTCAATTCTCTTTATATACAGAAGATCAGTTTAGCATATATTAAGTAAAGATTTCAACAGTTTGCACCCACACAGAAACACAAAGTGAAAAATACTGTTTGAGTACTAGTTATAGCATTAAATCACAATGTACAGAACATTAAGGACAGAGATCCTACATGAGGAGTAAGTGCACAGTGACTCCTGTTGTTGACTTAACAAATTGACACTCTTGTTTATGGCGTCAGTAATCACCCTAGGCTCTTGTCATGAGTTGCCAAGGCTATGGAAGCCTTTTGAGTTCACCGACTCTGACATATTTAGACAAGGCCATAGTCAAAGTGGAAGCTCTCTCCTCCCTTCAGAGAAAGGTACCTCTTTCTTTGATGGCCTGTTCTTTCCACTGGGATCTCACTCGCAGAGATCTTTTAGGTGTTTGTTTGTTTGTTTGTTTGTTTTTTGCCAGAATGTCTTGGCTTTCCATGCCTGAAATATTCTCATGGGCTTTTCAGCCGGATCCGCATGCCTTAAGGGTTGATTCTGAGGCCAGAGTGCTGTTAGGACATCCGCCATTGTATGAGTCTGCTGTGTATCCCGCTTGCCATGTTGGATCGTTCTCTCCCTGTTTTTATTCTATCAGTTAGTATTTTCAGACACTAGTCTTGTTTATGTGATCCCTTTGGTTCTTAGTCCTATCATTATGATCAATTGTGAACAGAAATTGATCACTTGGACTAGTGAGATGGCATTGGTACATGCCACCTTGATGGGATTGAATTGGAATCCCCTGGTATGTTTCTAACTCTACCATTTGGGGCAAGTCAGCCTGAGCATGTCCCAAATTGCACATCTCTTCCCTCTCTCATTCCCACTCTTATATTTAACAGCGATCACTTTTCAGTTAAGTTTCAACACTTAAGAATAACTGTGTATTGATTACAGTATTCAACCAAAAGTATTAAGTAGAACAAAAAAAATACTAAAAGTGATAAAGTATTAAGTTGTTCATCAACAGTCAGGGCAAGGGCTGATCAAGTTACTGTTTCTCATAGCGTTCATTTCACTTTAACAGGTTTCCTTTTTGGTGCTCGGTTAGTTGTTACCGATCAGGGAGAACATATGATATTTATCCCTTTTGGACTGGCTTATTTCACTCAGCATAATGTTTTCCAAATTCCTAACAGGGATCACTTTTCAGTTAAAATTTAAACACCTAAGAATCAAATGCTTGGTTTTTGAGAACTTGCAGAGGGAAGGGGATCCAGTGGTGCTATCTCCCCTTTCCCAGCTGCCTCGGTTTCTGGGCTGTCCACGCTGGCATACATGTACCTCTGCAGAGTTCTCTGCTCTTGTATCTCTTTATCCAGATGGGACGATTGGAAGCATTAGCGTTCCATAGTAGCTAGACTAGGCCTAGTGCATAGAGAGGAAACAGACAGAAAGTCTGGAACTTTTGACTGTTTGGGTGTGTGCTGAATGCCTGTTTGCATATTGGTTACTTCATACATATTAAGAAATATTTTAGATAAAGCATTGATTCTTTTCCTCTCAGGTGCGGTGTCTAAAAGACTACGGAGAATTTGAAGTTGATGATGGCACTTCAGTCTTACTAAAAAAGAATAGCCAGGTATTTCTTTTGTCTTCATATACTCTAAATTTTTGTAAGAGAGTTGAATGGTGGACCTTGTTGGGGTCAGTAGCAAAATAAATAAATATCACTTGTGGTGATCATTGGGATTATGCTAAGTGTAAGATACTCTGTAGTTTTGCCAAATACTAAGACTGGAAGCAGATGTTTTATGTGGTGAGAAAATGCTAATTTGCTGGGTGGTGCTTGTTTTCCACACTAAGCATTTTCCAGGGAAATTACCATCATGGGGCATATTCTAGTCAAGTGGTAGATCATTATCCAGGGACTGTTAAACTGCCAAACTCACCTTCTTTGAATTATAACTTATAAGAACAGTTGCTGTGCACTCATTTTTAGCCTGTACTTCCTCTTTTAAATCCTGGTTGTTTAATAAGCAGTGATACAGATCAAGAATTTGTAGGTGTGTCTGTTGTGGCACAGCAGGTTAAGCTGCAGCTTGCAACACTGGCATCCCATATTAGAGCAGCAATTCAAGTCCCAACTGTTCCGCTTCCAAGCCACCTCCCTGCTGATGTACCTGGGAAAGCAACAGATGATGGTTCAAGTCCTTGGGCCTCTGCCATCCACATGGGAGACCCAGATGGAGTCCTGGCTCCTGGCTTCAGCTTGACCCGGCCCCAACTTTTGTGGGCATTTGGAGAGTAAACCAGCAGATTTAAGATATCTCTGTCTCTTGCTCTTTGTCACTCAGCCTTTCAAATAAATAAATCATAAAAAAATAACTTTTAAGTATTTAGTATCTAAATACAACAGAATTTAACAGGGAAAGAATGAAATTGTGAAACCGTAGCTTAAGCTAAATTTTTTCTTATAAAAAAATCTCAGTATATTGTTTCCTTAGAAACCTTCAGATTCACGCTAAGTGGATTTCTGTTAGCTCAATTTATTTAAGCTGTACCAGTTTTCTGAAGGTGATAAAGATCATCTGTGTGATATAACGGGCTAAAGGGAAACATTTTGTTACCATAATTCTTTACATTTGTCAATATGGCAAACACAGTTTCTTTTTGACCAGAAATGAGAACTACTCCTCCCCCCACCCTTTTTAATTTAAATTTTTTTAGGGACAGAGACAGAGCTCCCATCTGATGGCTCACCACCCAAATGCCTGCAAATGCCAGGGCTGGGCCAGGGCCAAAGGCCTGAAGTTGGAACAACTGAGGGTTCCCAAGATGGTGTCAGAAACCCAATCACTTGAGCTTTCATCATTGTTCATGTTAGCAGGAAGCCAGAGTTGGGAGCCAGAGCTGGGGATCCAACTCAGGCAATCCGGTATGGGATGCAGGAGTCTTAACCACTAGGCCAAATGCACCCACCTGCCCTCCACCCCACCACCTTGGATTTCTCTGAATGGCAGAGAGAAAGTGAGGTCCTCCATTTGCTGGTTCACTTCCCAGATGGCCACGACAGCCAAGGCTGGGCTGGGCTGAAGCCAGGAGCTGGGATCTAAATCTGAATCTTGTCAACATGGGAGGCAGAGACCCAAGTACTGCTGCCTCCCAGCGTGCTCGTTAGAAGGAAGCTGGATTGGAAGCAAAGGAGCTTGGACTGTAACCAAGCACTGCAGTATGGGATGCAGGCATCCTAGGCAGTGTCTTAAGCACTGTGCCAGATATCCACAGCCCTCACCCCTTTTAACAGCAGTATTAGAATAACTTAAGGGAAGGACTTAATGTGTTTGTGTCATTTTTTTCCATGTTTTTAATGCTTTTGAGAAACTGAGTTAACAAGTTGGACAACAGTCTTGGCCTGTGTGTCTTCCTGATTGCTTTCGAGAATCGGGTCACAGGTCTCCCGTGAGGCAGGACTTCCAGGTGCACACAGCCACTGAGGTTAACATTTTGCTTCCTTGAGTAGTTTTGATAACCTTTCCTGCTACAGTGGTTTTTGTAAGTCTTCACTCATCACGTCTTCGAGATGTCTTTGATCACCTGTGAGCTTGGGTGATCCTCCTGGCTTGCTTCTGGATGTGCTCACTCTGGAGCAGAGTGAATGCTCACTTTGGTTTGAAGAGGGAGGAGGCCTCTTTCCTGCCTGCCTTTGGCCCTCTCAGGAGGACCCAGGACAACCATGACTGGGTGCCAGTGTCTTCCACAAAGCATGTGAACAGCAGCCACACTGCAGGTTACAGGAATGCAGAGAGAAGCTGCTGCTTCGTCAGGAACGGATAAGTGTTCAGACTCGGGTTTTTTTTTTTTTTTTTTTTTTTGACAGGCAGAGTGGACAGTGAGAGAGAGAGACAGAGAGAAAGGTCTTCCTTTTGCCGTTGGTTCACCCTCCAATGGCCGCCGCGGCCGGCGCGCTGCAGCCGGCGCACCGCGCTGATCCGATGGCAGGAGCCAGGAGCCAGGTGCTTTTCCTGGTCTCCCATGGGGTGCAGGGCCCAAGCACCTGGGCCATCCTCCACTGCAGTCCCTGGCCACAGCAGAGAGCTGGCCTGGAAGAGGGGCAACCGGGACAGAATCCGGCGCCCCAACCGGGACTAGAACCCGGTGTGCCGGTGCCGCTAGGCGGAGGATTAGCCTAGTGAGCCGCGGCGCCGGCCCCAGACTCGGTTTTAAGGGCGTGTGGCAGCACGTGTCATCTGGTCCCCGAGACTGTGCCTGGGTTCAGAAGTGCACACACTAAGGAGAGTACCTGCCAGAATCCAGAAGTTTTTCGTGAATTGAGCAAACCAGGAAGTCAGAATTCAGTCCCACTGTAAGTGCCATCAGTTCCAGTGATTTTTCAGCAAACATTAAAGTTTAGCTTTTAACTGCTTAGCTGCGGCAGTTTGAAAAATACATAATCAGTTACTGCTTTGTAGTGATGTAAAAAGTAATTTACAATTCCTTTCCAACCCAGTCTTACCTCTCACCTTTTTTTTTTCCTCAGCACTTTTTACCTCGGTGGAAGTGTGAGCAGCTGATCAGACAGGGAGTGCTGGAACATGTCCTGTCATGACCACACACTGGGGCCCACTGTGCCCACTGCTGAGAGCGAGGTTGAAACATCTACACTTGGCCAGAGCTCACCACCTGCCCCTCTCTCCTTAATGCTGGGAGTCACAGAAGTTCGCCAAGAAAACCAGGAGCACTTGAACAGGGAGCATAGTTGGCTGTTAAAAGACCCTTGTCTTTCTATGTTGTATGTCGTTCTTCCTACTCCTTTTTGTAGTACACGGTACTTGTAATCATAGCATTACTACAGTGTGCTTTGAAAATGAAAATAAACATTGTTAACATTTGGATCTCTTTTTAAGCTGTGGGAGTCACCTACCTGTACAGGTAGAAGGCTGCTCCCTGCATATTGATGTTTCCTGATGTATACCTTGTGCACACCGGGCAGCTGGACTGCAAGGCTTCAGATTCCTGGGGTAGGTGATCCTGGTCTGCACAGACTTTTAGTGTACTGACTGCTTAATGGCAACCGGATTTAACACCTGGCTGTTTGGGGAGGAAGCAGGGAAGGACATGATAGGTTTTGGTCATTTCCAGCATTGGTGGCTCTGGGCTTGGGGGTGGGCACCTGTCTCGGAAAGGACTCAGAACCTGGGGCTACAGAAGGACTCTGGCCGTTTCTCCTCAGATTCTCATTGACCGAAGGGCCCCCTGCAGGCCAGGCGGAGGGCGGCTTGTCTGTCTGCCAGGCTGTGGGTGGTCAGAGCCTGACAGGCACATACAGCTTTGCCTTGTGGTCAGTGGCCTTTCCCCCCTGACCATATTATCCAAAAGATGTTGGACCCTAAAGGTCTAGATAAGCCAGCTCCTGGCCTGTACTACATGCAGTTTAAACCCTCAAAAAAATGATTTTTCCCCTTGGTGTTTGCAGTCAGATCAATTTTCCTCTAAATCTCTGTGGATAAACAATAGGGAAGGTGTTGCTGGGGAATGGAATTTGCTGTTGGTGTTTAGGGCTGGGTCTGTGGTCACTCCTTCCCTCATGTCTGCTCCCAGGCTCTGGAACCATACACTTGGGCAAGTCCTGGAGTGCACCGGCACAGCACTGAGGTCATGAACTCGTGTGAAGGGCAGGATCCTGTGGTGTCCTTTGTATTTGATTGCTCGAATAACTTAATTAGGTACATCCCTTATTTGAAATTATATTGATATTTTGAGATTGTGGAATCTGTGTCAGTTTATGTTATCTGGGTATGTAGAATTATGGTCAGAATTTTAAACATATATCCTGTATTACTTTTTTTTTTTTATTACAGAGATAATTCAGTAAAAATAAAAAAATACAGTGTGGAAAATGAAAGTGAGGTCTCCCTTCCCTACAAATCCTGTCCAATGCTAATCCCATGGTATAGTCCCATGGTGTAAGATTTATTTATTTGAAAGAGAGAAGGAAAGACAGAGATCTTCCATTTGCTGGTTCACTTCCCAAATAGCCACAGTGGCTGAGGCTGGGTCAGGCTGAAGCCAGGAACCTGGAGCTCCATCAAGGTCTTCCTTCCTTCCTTCCTTCCTTCCTTCCTTCCTTCCTTCCTTCCTTCCTTCCTTCCTTCCTTCCTTCCTTCCTTCCTTCCTTTCTCTTTCTTTCTCTTTCTTTCTCTTTCTTTCTCTTTCTTTCTCTTTCTTTCTCTTTCTTTCTTTCTTTCTTTCTCTTTCTCTTTCTTTCTCTTTCTTTCTCTTTCTTTCTCTTTCTTTCTCTTTCACAGGCAGAGTGGACAGTGAGAGAGAGAGAGACAGAGAGAAAGGTCTTCCTTTGCCATTGGTTCACCCTCCAAGGCCGCCGCGGCCGGCGCACCACGATGATCCGCAGGCAGGAGCCAGGTGCCTGTCCTGGTCTCCCATGGGGTGCAGGGCCCAAGCACTTGGGCCATCCTCCACTGCACTCCCTGGCCATAGCAGAGAGCTGGCCTGGAAGAGGGGCAACCGGGACAGAATCCGGTGCCCCGACCGGGACTAGAATCCAGTGTGCCGGCGTTGCTAGGCGGAGGATTAGCCTATTGAGCCGCGGCGCCGGCCTCCATCTAGGTCTTTTGTGTGTGTGGCCCATATGGGACCAAGTGCTTGGGCCATCATCCACTACTTTCCCAGGTGCATTAGCAAGGAGCTGAATCAGAAGTAGAGTAGCTGGGACTTGAACCAGCCCTCCAATATGGTATACCAGCATCCCAGGCAGCAGCTGAACCCACTGTGCCATAATGCCGGCCCCTCAATCCCCTTTCTTTGAAGTGGTTTCCCTCTTTCTTTGTTAGAATAACTCAGCAAAATAAAATTCCAGTTTATTGTTGGACAACATCATTTCACACATACATCAAACAGGCCAAAAAAATAAATAGATAATAGCAACTTCAAAGACAAAAAGCTGGGGAAAAAAAAGAAACATTTTATCTTTGACTTTTTTTTTAACTTTTATTTAGTAAATACAATTTTACAAAGTACAGTTTATGGATTACAATGGCTTTTTCCCCCCCATAACTTCCCTCCCACCCGCACCCCTCCGATCTCCCGTTCCCTCTCCCATTCCATTCACATCAAGATTCATTTTCAATTATCTTTATATACAGATTGATTTAGTATATATTAAGTACAGGTTTTTTTTTATAAAGACTTTATTTTTTTATTTGAGAGGTAGAGTTGCAGAGGGAGGGAGAAATGAGAAAGGTCTTCTATTGCTGGTTCATTCCCCAAATGGCTGCAACCGCCAGAACTGGGCTGATCTGGAGCCAGGAGCCACCGCAGGTACAGGGCCCAAGCACTTGGGCCATCTTCTTTTCCAGGCCATAAGCAGAGAGCTGGATCAGAGGAGCAGCAGCTGGGATACGAGCTGGTGCCCATATGGGGTGCCAGCACCACAGGCGAAGGCTTAGCTCACTACGCCACAGTGCCGGCCTCTGTCTTTGGCCTTTTTAACCATTTTATACAGACCAACTACTTATAATACAGCTAAGTACATACACTGAAAAAAATTACTGGAATGCTCAGAATGACTTTTCTATTCATTTTTGCTTTCTTTTTTCTCTTTGGAGATAATAGTGAACGTGATCACACCACAAGTAAAACAAAACATTCTGGAGGCTGGTTTTGTCATCCTATATTGAAGTGACTGGCCCCTAGCAATATGTTCAAAAATATAAAATGTAAATAAGAAACACAAATTTCCCTATTTAGTTTCAAGAAAAATAAAAAGCAGGACCTGGAAATTTTGATTTTTTTTTCTTCCCCTGTTGCAAACTTGAGTGATTTTGAGTGGGTGATGGAGAGCACATGGCCTCTGCAGGTGACACTGCTGTTCTCCAAAGGTGAGCACATTTAGATTCTGAGAAGGGAAGTGGAAGGGGAAGAGGTAATGGTGGTCTGTCTTGTTTTTGAACTTTTTTTGCTGTCCACATCATCATCTACATCATCTTCAGCTGCCTGTTCGCCTGTGGCTGCCACAGCCTCCTCATCTTCATCTCTTCCCTCTTCTCCCCACCTTCCTCCTCTTCTTCCTCTGCCTCATCGTCCACCTGCTTCTCCCCAATTTTCCTCAGTGTTCCCATGAGCAGAGGCAGCTCTTCCATTCTCTGCCTTCTCCAAGCTTCGTCCTCCCTCCGTCCTTGGTTGTTGTCATCTGAGAGCTGGTGTCCGTGGCCGACCGCATCTTGATACCTTGTGTCGCTCCCCCATTTGCGGAGGAACGACACAGGACCCTGCGCTGTTCTTTCGTCTGCTCGGCCCTTCCCGGGTTTGCTGCTGGTCCTTCCTGGGTTGGCTGCCGACCCCTCCACCTCTGTGGAGGGGCGGCTCCCCCTGCCACTTTCCCCACTTCCGCTGGGGAGCGGCACACCGCCGGCCGGCTCTCTCAGGGGCTGCTCAGATGTTATCCGGATGTTCCTGGTGCATGTTGTCTCTCTCCTCCTTTATAGTCCTCTTCCGCCAATCCCAACTCTGCTACCCACACGCTGAGCACGCTGCTCTCCTCCAATCAGGAGCAGGATCAGCTCCTGCAGCTTATCAGTCAAATTGGCGAGAGGCAGCTGTGTAGAAGTTTACTCCTCCCCAGCGCCATATTGTGGGAGAGCAGATGCATAGAATAAGTCTTAATTCCAGTAAATTAGTCTAGTCTCAGTTGCTCCCCACACCTTGAGGCAGTGATGCAGTGGATTTCAAAGAAAGCGAGTTTGGGGAGCAGAGTGTGTGGAGGAGGTGGCTGCAGGGAGCTGGGAGCCGGACCCGGAAACAACGCAAAGGGAGCTTTCAGAGCAGCCAGCGCGGCTCCAGTTTGGTTCCTGTTGTGAGCTACTGAAAGCTGGATCCCTGTTTCTCTTGCAGAATCAGAATAACAAGGACAAGGTTGGGGACAAAGGCAAGAGCAAGTCCATCGTAGATGAGGGCGCCCTGCTCAGTGAGGATACTCTGGGGTTTTTAGGGAGATGGCAGAGGAGGCTGGGCCGCTGAGCCCGGTGCTCTGCCGGTGTGTGAGTCTGCCAACAGGGAATCTGGGATGGCAGTGCAGTTCCCTGGGAAACTCCCTGATGGCGTGACTCAGGAGGAGGACATAGCAAGATATCCTGTACAACTAAGTAGCCACGAAAACATTATTTGGGTGAGATCTGAAAGAGGCACAGTATTGCGTTAAGGGGTTCACTGTTTGTTTGGGATGAAGCCCACCCTGCCCTTAGTCATGGCGATCTCTTTGCATTTTGTTACAATAAATTCAAACCTCTGGTGGTGCTGACTGGGGAGGGCAGATTACTTGCGACTGCCCATGGTTTTCTCAAGGCCAGTGTCTGGAATTCACAAGCAAGAGCTGCTTATCTGTTGGAGCACTTTTTGTCACTCACAAGCTCAGCGGTTTGCTTTTGTTCATCAGAACATGGAAAGGAAAAGAAGCATTGGGTCCGGTTACAAATGAACCTTTTTCTTTTATATTTGCTAACTGGCCTTGGGTGAAGATGTAAGAAACTCAGTTCTTTTTCACATTGGTTCTGCTGCTGACTCCTGCTGGTGATGGCTGTACCTCATCTCCCCGACTTGATGGATGGCAACATCCTCATTCTCCATCTTCCTATCCCCCATTTCCCTGGGAGCAGTACCAAAACTGCAGCTTCCCCCAGTGCCACTTGAAATCTCAGCAAATTCAACACCATGATTTTAAACAACAGTGATAACTGGCAAATACAACTTTCCCAAGCACACTCTGGGGGCTGCTCACAGAACCCCCTAATCCTGTGAATTAAATAATTAGGATTTTATCGCTGAACTCTCTTGCATTGCTGAGCTAGTAACTTTGTGGCCATGGTTAGGGAAGTGCAAG